ATTCCCCCCCCCCCCCCCCCCACCCACAACACTACACAATAATAAAAGAAAACGCGTTTGTGTTACATTATTATGTGGCGACTATCACTTTCATCCGATTAACTGAACAGGTACTTACAAGATTATTATATAAACACTGAAATCCATATGAGATCACAATAGAGATTCATTCATTGACTTGATTATTAATTTTACAAACAAATATTTGTAATTGTTGTTTATCTTCCATCTTTAATTAAAGTCGGTGAAAAACTCTGTACTCTCATTTTCGAAGACTGCATTGCGTTGCTCGAGTTAATTTTGGCTTATTGTCTAAGTAAATTTTTCTCTATCATCTGCTTCAGTACAGATCGAGTTTATTTTGACTTATTGTCTTACTCCCTTCTTTTTTTCGTGCCGGTGCTGTTCATCCAATATGATCTTTGTCTTATAGTCAACAAAACAAATTTTAACGTCCTTTTCGACTTCACACGAGAGGTACTAAATTATTACAAGTTCAAACAATAGGGATATTAATACTATTTTGGTTCTCATTGTGTGAATAAAATGAATACATAGTACGTGTGAAGATGATAAAAGTATTAGGGTTAGGTTGGGTTGAGGAGACAAAAAGTCTGACTAATGGGGTTCTAAACAACTTTTTTCCTCATATATTGTTTGTGTAATTTCGTAAGAGTCAATAATTTTGTTTTAACTTCATGCATGATTATCGAAGATGTTGGGTTTTGTCAAGATTTACGTTTAATCATTTTCTTAGTCCAACATATTATATTGGTTTGAATCATTTTCATATATGTTGATAGAACACAAGCGCCTACCTTAGATGATGTAATCATGCCCATGGCGATGGACCTTGGGGGGTTGAAAAGTACAATTTTGGAAGTTGGGAGCAAAAAGCATCATTGCACTTTGTTGGGGACTAAATATGCAATTTTAACATTGACCAGACTGTTTGGCCCGTAGTTATCAGACTTGACACAGTCATTGACTTAACCAAAGCACCGGATCAATGAGTCACTAATGGAACTATCGAGTTATTGTGTTGAAATTTATCCTCTATTTAGTGGGGATTAAATTAGATTTTTAGTATATTTTGATAGATTGAC